CTGACTATCAAAATTTACAGAAGAAAGTAATTTGGCTGCAATCACGAACATCGTAGCTAGTGTATATGTTCTGCACAGCATTTGTAAGGATGATTTTTGCGAAAACAATGACGCACACAATAGTGTGGAGGAAACGGCAGATTAACCAGAATTTTTTGATACTTTAAAGTTGGATGACTCAATTAATTTAAGACAAAACCTATTTAATTACTTGTCAAGAGAAAATATTATTTAGATTTAAAACTAAATATTGAAAATAAAGTACAAACAACAAAATATAGAAAGAAATTGTGTTTATTAAAATTATAAAAAAAAAAAAATAAATAAACTAAATAAAATAATAAACTAAACTAACTATGGATTTAATGACTTCACAACGGCCTCCAACAACGACAATTTTCAATGAAGGTTCACAATAGTATGCTTATTGCGTTGGTAACATTTTTTTTTTTACTGGCCGATGTGGTTGGCCAGCATAACTATGCTGGCCGAGGTAGAGAAAATAGTGTTGTTGTTTTGCATACATTGCGGTCAGTATAGGCCTGCATAGGCCAACAACTTGCTGTTTTTTGCCGTACTTGCGAGCCACCGAATACGCCTAAAGATATATAATTAGAAAAATAGAGTTACTTAATATTTTTACTTTTAAGTTCTACAATTACTTACGTTTCACTCATTTTTTAACAGCAAAATAACAACTATATAAAATAACGTGTTTGTTACTAATAATACCAAAAATTAATGAAAATTGGCAGGTGGCAGTTATAAATTAAAAAGAATTGTGTATTATTATTATATTTTTCAAGTACAGTTACAACTGACAGTTAACTGAAAGTAATGTACGTATTTCAATAAATCGTTCACAATAGACGAGTTATTAGTCTTGGCAATCATTTGATTTGAGCTGCTTATTAGTTAAGCGGTTTTAAAAAGGTTGGACTAAAAAAGCCAGCATTGTTGTTGTTTCATATATTATTTTTAAAATTGGCAGTTGTTCTTTTGTGACATGCTTACAAAAGAAAACGCCTTTTATATCTTAAGCATTGTTAGCTTTAAGAAACAAAATCAAATAAATACACATTTGAAAATTAATACTTAAAACACTGTCTTCTATTATTTATAAATTTAATGCAACGGCTCAGGATCAGTCACTGAGTTTACCCCAGCAAATTGAGACGAACAAAACTTGTCGTTACAGTAGCTGTTACCCGTGACGATTATATTTTCCAAAAATTCAAAGGCGTACCGTTCCGAATCAACATCAATTACTTGATCTAGTGCTCGTTGAAAGGTAGCGGACGCGGCGTGTAACCCAAAAGGCATCACTTTCCATTGAAGAAATCCGCGACCAGGCACGGTAATGGCTGTATATTGTTTACTACTCTCCGAGGCAGTGGATAAGAATCAGGTATCGATTGTGTGTTTAGCTGTCGATAGTCTATGCAGAACATCCATTTGCCATTTTTTTCATACCAAGAGAATTGGAGCACTGTATGCGCTTCTTGACAGTCTAACCCCAAAATTACTTCATCAATCAAATTTGCGAGTAGGATTAATGCTATCTTCGTGGTTTTTGTCCCGAGCGTGATACATGTTGCCATTTGTTGAGCGTCGATCATGGTGCATGTTAGTGAGGCTCCAATAGCTACTAGAAAGTCTAACCCCAAAATTACTTCATCAATCAAATTTGCGAGTAGGATTAATGCTATCTTCGTGGTTTTTGTCCCGAACGTGATACATGTTGCTTGGTTGAGCGTCGATCGCCATACGTATTTGAGTGAGTTCTGGCGTAAGGATGATATTCCTCTTAAGTTTTTCTGCTGTTTGCGGGTTGATGAAACTCCTCGAGGATCCAGTAATGATAGTTACTCTGATGACTTGATGAATAATAGTAACTTGGGCCGTCAGACGTTATTTACTGTGCTCTATGCATCTTATTGATTGGACGCGGTGTGTTCTTGTGTTCTCATCGCTCCGCTCTGTCGTTGACCCAGATCTCGTATCCCTGATTCTTACAGTATTTTATCGAATACTTTCCACTTTTCCCACATTCCCAGCAAAATAAGATGCTAGTAAAGCAACAATACCAACTCAAGCGTCATTGTTGACCACATCGATGACAAGCCATTCTAACATTCTTTATCTTCTGCAGCATCAATCACTCTTGCTTTGACTTCTTTGGCCGGTAACGCGTTTTTTTAATATCGGTCTGTTACTGTTAGTGCCTTCAGATCCCCTGCTAAAGCTAGAAGACTGTCAATGACTGGAAATCTTTTCTTCATATGTACCATTGGTACTTGATCCCACTATTCCGATTAATCCTCTGTTGCATGAGATTCTGGAGTGCTAATAAATAATCTCTGAAGAGTTTCCTGAGTTGTTGAAGGCGGGTTCTTACTTTGTCTGCTAATTGTTCGAAGTACCTTGGGGTCAAGTAGAATGATAGTGCCATATTGATGCTTTGTCTCTTAAAAATTCAGACATGATCTTTGGTAGTAAGTGCCTATGTATACCGTAAACATCCGCCAGTTCCTCAATTCTTTCTAAAAATGGTAGTGCTTCATTTTCACCTGAATAGTGACATCCCCACTTTCTAACTTAAGCAATTACTCTTGGATAGTCCACCATGGTTACGCTTTCTCCGTTAGTTATTAAAGGACGTCTGTTTACAAGGACTCTCGGTGATGAGCTCCTGCTATATAACTGAATTCCCTTAGACGGGCTATATCTTTCTTAGTTGCCTGTGTGCCCATGAACGCTAAAAGTTTCTTATGAAGTTCCTTTATTGAACCACTTGTATCTAATCTGAACTCGTCTACGTAAGTCACCAGTTCTTCCATTTCCGCCAAGTAGATCCAAGATTTGCTTCCTGATGCTTTTTGTGTTTTTCGTGGCGACTGGTATTTTGCGGCCTGTTTGTGCTGTCACATCCTTCATACTCGACTGTAACACCGCTGATTTGTCTTCTATAATCAACTCGAGATATTAGTTAGTTTCTGTTTCAACTGTCCCTGCTCGGGCGCCAATTGTAGCAAACCTTTTCTGCCTAGGTTTCGCTTGCCGGACTCCAAGTCCAGCCCTACAATAAATTTATTTGATAGGAACAGTGGAAGGTTGATGAATTGGTGATAGAAATATATATTTCTATCTACCTATAAATAAGATTTGGCATGAAATGTGAGTATCCTATCCACGATAGAATGTTATGTTGGTGATAAAGATGTGGATTTATATCCACCTATAATAAGATTTGATATGAAATGTGAATTTCATATCCACGATGGAAAGTTAATGAATTGGTGATAGAAATGTAAGTTTCTATCCACCTAAAAATAAAATTTGATACATAATGTGAATTTCGATTTTCTGTTTTGCGTTCTTATGCTTCATGAATTTTGCTGAATCAAGACGAAAGGTTATCAGAACAGTACAATTTTTCGTTTTTTTATTCACAAAAATTTTGTTCCTTTTTGGTTCAATTGTAGTCAGAGCCGAAGAAGTGTTGTTAGTATTGGGTGGATGAACAAACACCACCAACACTTCTATTATTCATTCTTCTTGCACACTTACTAAATTTTTCGTATGCAAGTGTAAAAGAGGCAATATTTCTGTAGTTTATACATAGTCTTTGTATTTGTATTTGTTTTCCGTAAAATATATGATTGACTTTGTGTGCATGCAATGCACAAGTTCTTCCAAATCATTATAAATTTAATTTTTGATGAAATTTTATTATGGTCCCATACAAGTATGACAAGAACTATGAGGTCAGACAGCATCGGCAGTAGCGCAATCATGGTTGTTGTTAGTGCAAATAGTATTAATGTGCTCGGTAGTGAAGACATTACTATGCCCTAGAGTATTAATGATTTTATGAAGTATATAAATACACACCATGTTGTTTAATATTTACTTATATTTTTATTTTAATATACATATTTAAATACATGTTTAAGTTCTTCTAATATTAATTAAATAAATCATATAGAATTATCAACGAAATTTAATGTAATCATATGAAATGTATGGTATTTAAAATTAATAATTAAACATTTGAGTACGCAACTTAATAATTAACTATTTATTGTGTTCTTTAACATTATGTAAGGCATAACTTTATGTATGTAAGGCATAGATAAATCTCTGGTCACATAGCATCTTACGTACAAAAATCTTTGATAGCCAAGAGTCGCCTTACTTTACCGGCGTTGTTGTTGCTATTGCTTTAATAGCCGTATTATTTAATATTTTTATTGCTTGCTGTAAGTGCATCATTTTCAATTTAATTCAAGAACAAAATGCGTAGTTTAAAGAATTTAAATATAATAAAATAGTTATTTTTCTTGTTAATAAGTACTTAATGAATTCATGCAGTCAAAATTAATGCAAAACAAACTTATGAAATTGTAGGTTTAACAAAATATGAATAAAACTTGTGGCAGCAGCACATAAAGTTGGTCAGACACAGAAACTTGGTGGCAGCACTATTAAAAGGCAGAATGAACAATACATGATGGCAGCAGTAAGGAATTTCCCACCCCCCACTAGTCGACAGTCGTTATAACGGATGGCAAACGGATAGATCAATCAACTGTATAAGTAACGGTATTGGCAGGTATTTCAGTATCAGATTGCAGTAGAAATTAGTGCTGTTCACATTATTCGAAGTTTTTAATAAACCGAAGGTCTTCGATTATTCGAATATTCGCATTTCAACGAAGTCTTCGAAGTTGGAAAAAACTTCGAAGTTTTTGTGAATTTTTGTTCTCTAAGTCTTTTTTTAAATATAAATAATAAATATAAGTTATTTAAAATGTAAATTTTTTATTTAATATAAATAATATTTAAGAATAACATATTTAATAATAATATATATTATAATACATATTTAATA